TTTGTTGAATACTTGAGGTCAGAGGTTCAGCACAAACGCTAACCTGAATGTTAGAGGAATATGAAAACATTACTGCCTGGCAAGCACTGTAATAACTATGGGGCATTGACATCCGGGGCTCTCATAGGAAGTGCTAATGAGTGGTTTTGTATTTGCAGCTCCACAAACATGACCAGGAAAGCGAGGATGGTCCTTCCAAATGGATATCAGAAGAGGAGATGGCCAAAGAGGCGACAGAATTACGCAGCCTCTTCAACTAGCTTCTTTAGGTAATTATGTATTATAAAGTAGAGGTTGACTAATACTGGATTTTGCAATTACTATTACCTATAGTTGTAAAAAAGCCAATGTCTGGTGATTCAGGTGTCCAAAATGCATGAACTCACAGGTGCAGTTTATTGTGCAATCAATCAATCAATCAATCAATCAATCAATCAATCAACCAATCAACCAATCAATCAATCGATAAATTCATAAATTCATAAATAAAAAAAATTCAGTACATAATGTCAGACTTTGACAGTAAATAACCCTTCAATACACCTGGGGCAGACTTGTTATTTATATTCACCAGATGAAGTTGGAGATGCAACATTATGTTGATGTTGGTCTGATGTGGTATGTTTCCATATACTCATCTTTTCCTTGGCATGTGCTCACTTTAATTTAGGACACTTGATGATTATCTCAAAGTAAATACCATGATATGCATTAAAACTGAGGATAAAATTATGGCTGTATTGTCAATGATGACACTTTTAGACACTAGAACACTACATTAGTGCCGATGGAGGGGAAAAAAAGGTATCAACAATTTTTTGCCAACATCCAACAGTTTGAAAAGCTAGTTTGCAAATACATACATAACTTCTACCCTTTACATGAATTTTCTGTAACAGATCTCTCAGCGTTCAATATATTTCATCAATTTGTTTTTTCTTCCCAGCCAGGGGTGGAGGACATGCAGATGAAGGACATCAACACGTTGATATATGTTCTTATCTATATTTTAGACCATTTATTCAAATAAAAAAAATTAGTTAATTTCTGTATTGTTGTTTTATTTTTATGTTCTTGTGTAAACACATCTGAAAGCTCTCTTAATTTAAAGTGTTTACTTGTTTGTATGCCATCTGCCGAAAAGTACAAACATTGTAAGCCAATCTTTACAGAACCACAAGCCTACTCATTATGAGCCATTATCAGCCTCTATCTGTATATGGGCTAACATAAGTTTTATTAGAAAGGTAATGTTGCTGTGTATGAATAATATGCTGTCTGCTGTTCTATAAAGTCAATTTAAACCAGTTTAGTGCTTGCAAGCACACACTTTGGTAAACTAAAAACATTGAACTGTTCTGCTTGCATGAGTCCCAAGCTTTTACAGATGTCCATACAGCTAATGAAACAATAGATGTTGGACACATATTTAGGCCATGATGCCTGAATTGCCAGAAACTGCTTTTAATGAAATCTGTCCATGCATATATTGAAAACTGACACAACAAGCTGAAGTAACCTCAATAGAGTACCTAGAATAATGGTGTAAAATAAACAGAGATGTTGCGTTTGCAACAAATAAGCCTTTAATGTGGGAGTGTGGCATTAGTTAGCCTAACAGCAGTCCCAGTACTGGAAACTATTATGAGTTTTATCATTTTATCAATGTGGAAATAAAATGGTCTTGACTGGCCCCTTATTCATCTGGAAAAGGAAATACAATTCTGACAGGGTAATGTGTACCAGCCTCTAGCCCTTTCAGAGTAATCAAGTTGTAAAAAGGCCCACAAATTTTAAACAATATTATTATCGACAAGAATGGTCGAGGAATCTATCACAACTTGCAAAACAGAACCAAAAGGAAAGGCATGCATTACCCATGAAGTTTGTTGTCACTATTTCAATGTAAAGGGCCTAATTGCTCTGCTGAAAATGCAGGTTAAGCTGGTCGTAACTGGTTTAAGTGGGTCTCTCAGCCTGGTCAAGATGACAAGTGCCCAAAATCCCCTCAAAACCAACAAACAACACTAAACGTACCAGCTAATACTGCTTTTACAAGGGCTTCCAAAACATCCAAAATATTAGCTGGGGTAAAATGCTTCCAAATGTGCAGAAAGCTAAATTTCCGCAATCTTTTAAGGTAAACCTAGTATAAAGCCAGCTAACATTCCTCTTTTTCAGATTGTTTATTAATTCTGGTAAATAATAATCTTAGAATCCTTAAGCATGATACAAATAGACATTGAAAATTGCAGCATGGACATCAAATCAAAATTTCAATCTAGATTGTATATAATAGTTTTTGATATAGGGTTGTTATTTACTAATTTGTCAATGAGTTAGCTGTAATGTTCATGCATCTTGCAACTGATTATGTCAGAATGTTTTGACATTATGAATCATAGTTTGTACCTCTGTGGAGTTTACGGATGCTGTGTGGTTATACAGTTTTCCAAGGACATATATTTTCCAGTATTAGTTGTTGTCCTCAGGCAGATTTCAAGTTAATCATTCTATCATTCAAGTTAAAATTCAGTTTCTTTGTAATGCAAGCATGTTGCAGGAACCGTTTCAGCTCAGGTCCTCAAACATGAAAGAGCCCTATCATGAGACTATTCTCTGGTCCTTTTTACAAGGTTTTTCAGGCCTTTACCCACAGTCCCACACAGAATGAGATATTCATCAAACAACATTTCCTTCTGCAGTTTTCTCCAACATCTATCCCTTTTGAATCCCGTTCCCATCACCTCTAATGTCCAGCCTCCGAAAGTGTGAAAGAGTGACTGGGCTTGACATTAACACATAGCAGAAGGCTTTTTTGGAGTTGGTGTCTAGCACACTAACTGCTAAGCTTGTGTGGCAGATGCGAGCTTGATTTCAATTCCTGTCAGTCCATGATTTCCTGTCACTTTTCTCTTATAGTTTTAATAAAGTGGCAAAAGACTCCAAAATAAACCAAAAACAGGGCTTTTACAAAGAAAGAAAGAAAGAAAAAGAAAGCCACCAGAAGCCAGTTTTGGTTGAACGTTTTAGCTGGATACCATCAGAGAATTCACAAAGAAGGTTTTTTTTTTTTCTTTCTATCTCTCTGTGGATAAGTGGAACTAACTTAAGTCTAACCTTGTGAAATATGTCTTTAAAAAATTATATTTACTGTGTTCTGTGCAAATGTCTACAATTAGCTATCAATTTGCTTAGTTTAGCTTAGCCTTTTGGTTCTTTAGAAAAAAAGACTAAGCTAAAAAGTATTTTAAAAAGTAGGTGTTTGCATGTTAAAATGCCAAGTCAAAAGATCTAAACAAGTGCAGAGCATTAAAAGACACAGTTTAAGCCATTTGTTTGCACAATTAACGCTAGAACCGCCACGGGGTAAATTTTACCCGTGGCTGTTTTTCAAATGTACATAACAGATTTAAAATAAAGCATTCAAGTCTCCCAGTCATTGAATTTTATTAAAATTATTTAATTTTCAATCCAATGTTGTTAAAAATTATTTAGATAAAACCAGATCAAAAAATGGGGCATTTATACTTTTACCCACCTATATAATGCATGTATTTTCTTGCCGCTTATGTTTTAACATTGTACATTTATAGGCAATACCTTTCACTCACTGATTTAGCGGTTATCAGTTTCATAAATAAAGTCAAAATGACAAAACAAAAGGCGATTTATGGAAGGTAGGTATTAGAAACACTAAATGCCATGAGTGATGGAGAGTCTGATGGTAAGTTATGCATCCTGGGTCGGCTCAGCATCTGACGGCTCATCTGACAGTGATCCAGATATCATATTTACACGTTTTAGCCTAACGTTACTCTAATTGGTCAAACTTTGGTTTAATTATTTAATTTTTGTCTTGCCGTATTGTGTATTGTTCGCTACTGTGTTGCTATTCTAGTCTGGTCGTTTCCTGAAGAACAAAAAAATCCGATCTATGTGATGTAATGAATAAAACCATTTTTTGATTACCCAGAGTTTATTGGTGTTGTTCTCTTATTCAAATTATAAATGATATAACTAAACCAATTAATAAATATTTAGGCGAAGCTGTGCGCTTGAATTTGTCATCCCATCATCCTATGCAGTGTGGTGAATTATTATTGCTCATTATTGTCTATAGGCTATTTTAGAATCAGAATCAGAATCAGAATGAGCTTTATTGCCAGGTATGTTTACACATACGAGGAATTTGTTTTAGTGACAGAAGCTCCACAGTGCAACAGAATGACAGTGACAAGACAGGACATAGATAATAAAAATAATAATATACAAATATACAAAATAGACAATGTACAAAAAAAGCAAAAGCACTATATAATATAGACAATTTTGTATGTATGTCATTAGTAATTTAAATAGCATGGGTTATCTTAATATATTGATTAATGACACTGTATTATAATATTACACCACCCAAATATTTAGGCTACTACCTTCTAATTTCCGTTGTCAGTGCAGGCTTTTTTTTTTATCTTAGGCTACTGACCGCTATGGATTAGTGTAGCCTGCATTAAAAAGTTTTGAACATAAAACAACAGGATAAAAATATAGTTGATGACTAGACATAATCATTTCATGACTGTAGACACTTCTTTGTGAAAACAGTAGCATAATACAGTGAAATAATATGTTATTTAGTCATATAAATACAGTTGTCATGTGCGTGGGTAAAAATTTACCCGCTGGCACTTTTAGGTATACAGCGACCCCTGGCGGTTCTAGTGTTAAGGAAGCAAAAGCCTGGCATAACCTGAATTTTAGTCAACACACACAATGTGATCAGGAAATAGCCAAGTTAGATGTTGCATTTTAATGCATTAAGCCATTAATGAATAAAAGGCCAAGGATATGACCTCTTTTTGAAATGGAAGGGGGTTTAATTTTGCATGGGTGTCACCTGTGATATATCAGCATCACCTAAGGTTCATTTGTGCAATGCTGCATTGAGATAATAAAGCTCATTTCATGTGTGGTGCAGGAATATATTACCAACATCATTTGCTGCTAATGGACTCTCAGCAGAGCCACTCGCTGGTTTAGGTAAATGGATGGTGTGTGTCATTATTTGTGCTATGGGAGGAGTGGGGAGGATCAGGGGGTGATGTTCCCTCCTTTGCACCCCGTTTTAATCATGAACGTCGTCATTTTGCAGATGGGAATGTAATGGGTAGGAGGTGGTGGGGTGGCAGAACACATACCCATTAATGCCCTTTTTGAACAAGTGGTCGCCTTAGCAGGCTATTTGAAGTGCTTCATA